CACAGGCTCAGGGGTGTCTCAGGGGACTGCACCGCGAGCGACTTCTGTCAGTGTCAGCAGCAGAGATCCAGGTGCTGTCGGAGTTTCTGAAGGTGCTCTGCCACCTGATGCCCAGTGGACTGTGTTTCTAAAGCCACCGTAAAGTGCCACAATCAGTGACCTGGAACAGCGAGGCTGTCCTCCCACTGGCGGGGGGTGGAAGTCCAAGATCAAGGTGTCAGCAAGAAGACACTCCAGTCACCTCCGGGGCGGAACGTCTGCGTCCTTCCCCAAGGAGGGGGTGTGAGCCGGGGCCCCTGGAAGCCACCAGGTCAGGAGGGTGGAGCCCTGATGGATGGATCAGCACCTGGGAAGGGACCCCCGAGACTGACCAAGTTATGTTACGTGCGTGTGTGAATACGCCGCTGCGTACCCTCACCCTGCACCAGTGAGAGAGGAGAGCCCCCCGTCCCTGTCACGGTGTGAAAACGTGGCGGGAAGGAGCACCCACAAGTCAGCCAAGGGCCGCGGACACCCCATCTGTCAGCATCGTGATCCGGGCCTGCAGCCTCCACAGCTGTGACGGGGAATTCTGTCCTTCACGAGCAGGGCAGGGCCTGGAGGAAGTCCTGCATGGGTCACCCTGCGGTCACCACTCCCTCAGGGCTGGTTCTGGACTCCACCGTGGAAAAGTCAGGCCAGACACACCCGGGTCTTCTCTCTATGAGAGGAAAGATGGTCACACAACAGGGACTGGCCTTCCTACACAGAAGAGAAAGGGGACGGGCAAGATGGAAGGAAGCCCCAGAGCCCTGCTCAGGGACCCAGCGGCCTCTGGCTTCTGAATGGCCAGGGCTGGGCCAAGAGGAGGCACGCAGAGGAGTCTTGGCGTGCGGGAGGGTGCCAAAGGAGAGGTGTTGGGGGCTCATGAAGCACTAGAGCCAAAAGAAGGTGGAATGTGGGGTACAGACTGTGTCTCCCAAGTCACGGCCCAGCCAGGGCCGCGATCACGTGTGTCCCCAGCAGTCCAGTGGCCACCAGCTCTGGAGGTGGCCCTTGCCACTCTAGAAAACCTCACCATTTAGTGAGGGACATCCCGCTGCGGGAGACCGAGTCCACTCCCTGGAAAGGGGCTGGAAACCACCCTGGGCTGTCCCCATGGGTCCCACCCTGGGCATCATCCTCACCCTCCCCTGCAGAACCACGGGCTGTGCTGGAGGGCGACTCCAGCCTTGCCCGAGTGGAGGCCTGGACTCTGCAGACGCAGACCACTCCCTGGTGAGACCCTGGGCTCCAACATCCCCAGAGACGGAGATCTCTACCTGAATAAGGAAGGTTGGCTTCCAGGGTGGTTAGGGATTCTGCACACAGGCTGGTCTCCTGCACAGCTGGAATGTGGACCACCAGACCCTTCTGGCCTGACTGCGTGGAGAGACTAAGGGTTCAGACGTTCGCTGTTTGCGCTCTCCAGGAGCCACAGCCACCTGCACACTTGGATGAGCTGCTTGCTCCATAGGAAAAGCCAGGCAGGAGCCCTGTTGACGGGAGACAGGGGCACAGAAGTGGGGGCCAAGAACCCTTCCCACAGCACCTGCAGGTCCCCCGGGAGCAGCTTCCTGCAGTATCACTCTCTCCTCTGCCACAGCTCCTCCCCTGCCCAGTGAGCTACAAAGTCAGAAGAGCTAGAATCCCTTCCATCACGGTCCTGGCTCTGCCCCTCCCCAGGAACGACAGAAGTTCCTGGTTTGCAGAAGGTGAGCAGAGAATGCGTGGAGCTGGCTGAGAGCTTGTATACAGCCCTGGGCGCTAGGGCCGTGCAGAGGCCCTTAGAGGGTGCCCTGTCCACACAGCATACCATCTGGGCTCCAGCCTGCCAGCAGGCCACCCCTGGCACTTGGCTCCACCTTCCTGAGCCCGTGTTTTTGTCTGTTAATGAATGGTGACAACAAACCTACTAGGACTATTGTGAATAGAAAGGAAAAGTGCAAGAAAAGTGCTCAGCACAGGAAGCAAGCAGTAAGCACTTAGTAAGTGTGGCCAGCACCTCACAAAGGAGTGAGTCAGTGTCAGATCGGAGGGTTCCCAAGGCGTCTGGGCTATTTGAAAACAAAAACGTTCTTTATTTTTTAGTTGTAGCATGTAGAGAGCTTCCCAGGGTTCTTTTGGTAAGAAACGACCAGAAAGACTGACATTTTGTATCTTTGGTGTTTGGTTACAGGACAGAATGGGGAGAGGTGAGCAGACGCTGTGGACACTCAGCAGCCCTCAGCGGTCATCCCCAAGTCAGACAAATGGATCTGTGGACTCTCAGCAGCCCTCAGCGGCCGTCCCCAAGTCAGACAAGGGAACGGGCCCCACTCCCTGCGCCCAGAGCTGTGTGCAGAGCTCCCCCAGCCCAGGCCTTGCTGGGCACCTGCCTCCTGATGGGGTGTGTGCCCCCTCACTGCAGAAGGTTGGCGTGAAGAGTCCCAAGTTTGCATCAGCAGGCGAGACCTGCTCGAGGCTTGGCTCCGGGAGCTCAGGGCGTGGGTGAGAAGCACGAAGGCTGGGAGGTTCCAGCAGGGTGGGGCCAGGCCGGCCTGACCCAGACAGGAAGGCCCATGGAGCATGGAGGGAGTTCACACCAGTCCTTGCTCTGTGGAAGTCTGTTTAGCATCGGGCTCCGTGGTGGTGCACGCCTGTAATGCCAGCTTTGCCAGGGCGAAGGCAGGAGGATCTCAAGTTCAAGGCCAGCCTCAGCAACTTAGGGAGGCCCTGTCTCCAAATAAAAGGCAAAAGGACGGGGTGCAGCTCAGTGGTGGAGGGCTTCATAGAGTGCAGGAGACCCTGGGCTTACCCCCCCCCCCGCCCCCATACAAAAGAAAGAGGAAGAGGGAGGGAGGGAGGAAAGGAAAGAAGGAAACTCAGGGAGGGAGGAGGCGAGATCCCCACCACCGAGAAGCAGAGTCTCCAGGCCTGTGGCCAGGTCCTCAGGTGCAGGGCCAGTGTCACTCTCAGGGTGGGCTGAAGAAGGCGCTGACGTCACAAGAACAGAGCAGGCTCTCTGGGGCACTGTCCCGTCCCTGTGAGCCCCAGCGCGCCAGGGGTTTGCCCTTTGGGGTCCTGCATGCCTGGGCCCTGGCGCTCAGTATTGTTTTCTCAGCTTTTGAAGATGGCGACAAGAACAGCCGGAGCTGCACGTCGGTCACTGGGTCCTTTCCAGAAGGGTCTGACTGGTCACTGGAGGACCTGCTGCATTTCCCAGGGCCAGACCAGGAGTCTGCAGACGGCAGGACTTCCTTCCCTCAGTTCTGGGAGCCAGAACCTGAAGTGTGTCCGTGCAGCCGCACACCTGCGGGGCGGAGGAGGGCTCTCTGGGCTCCCTCCCCTGGTGCTGCCCCGCCCCGGGTGCATCAACAGGCGAGACCTGCCTCACGCGTGACTCCGGGAGCTGCACCACGGCCAGTCTTGTCCTCGGATGTCTCCTGGCCCCTGCCCAGTGCCTATCTTCATGGCACTTCACACTTCTTACAGGACTCCAGCCACTCCGGGGGGGCCCACCCGAAGGCCCCACCTCAGCCTGATGGCAGTGCCAAGGCCCTGTTTCCCAACAAGCCAGCGCTCAAGGAGGCGGAGGGGGAATGTCCTCGCACATGGTGGGAGGACACAGCCCAGCCCACGGCAGTGCAGATGTCAACATGGAGCATCTCTCAACTGAAGCCCCGGGTGAGGAGCTCCCACTCTGAACCTCCCTCCACTTTCTCCTGGCCTGTGTCCACTTGAACTAGCCAGGTGGTTTGTTCTGCGTCCTCCCAAGCCTCTCCGGAGTCCAGAGGACTTCCCGTTTCCCGCCCTGAAGGTGAAGTTCACTAGTTACGGGGAGCACTGCACGGCCCGCCCTAGGCTAGAGGCCTCTCTTGCTTGTCTCTCCCACATGACCACCTCGGGAACCAGTGTGGCACCAGGAGTGCAGGACGTGGACCTGGCTGGGTCTACCAGCTCCTCCTGGCTCCTGAGCACGGTGAAGAGAAAAGAGGGACTTTGAGCCCGGTGGAGGAGAGGCTGCTGAAGAGAGCCGTGAATCGGGGGAGACAGAAGCTTTTAACCACTGGGCTGCAAAGTCGAGCCACAGAGAAGCAGGTCTGAGTCACGCTTTCTGTCATGGACAGCATTTCCCTTTACGAGCTGTTCTTGGTCGGGCCAGGGAAAATGCTCCTGCCATACAAAACAAGCCAGCCCTGACCGCTTGGTGGAGAACAAAGGAGCTCATCTCTTGGTAAGAGAGGAAGTGTCCACCTTGGCGTTAAGGACTTTCTCGGGATGACATTGAGATCCTAGCGGGCCTGATGCAGGGTACTTTGTACACATTGTCATTTCAAAGCCAATGTCAAAGTGACACTCCAGAATCATTTTTCAAAACTAAGAGATATGGGAGAGATAACACACAGAGACACTGACTCCTTAGAAAAACACCAGCTGTCGATGAATGAAGGCCAGAGAGTGAAGGACACACTTTCCCAGGTGAGTAGAGAGCAAGCAGGGGGAATCCATGGGCCGGGTACACGGCCTGTCCCCTTCCTAGAGCAGCAGAGGAGGGCATGGGAGGGAGGCTGGGTGACCTCTCGGGGTCACTGCACACACTCACTCCCAGAGCACCCGCCCACTCTTCCACGCAAAGTGATGACCAAGAGAAATAGTCAAATGCTGAGTCAGAGGAAGCTGAGCCGGGGCCATTGTTCTGAAATGGGTTGACCCAGGGCAGCACACACCCAGAGGGCCCTGCCGCTGGCCTCCCTCCGCAGGGTCATCTCAGAATGGAGTGCCCACTGGGGCGGCACTAGGGTGTCCTCAGGAGAGGAAGCAGACTGTGGTACAGCACAGCAACGGGAAGGCGACTGAGGACTCATCGTCCGAGACTAACACCTGCGCAGACCTGGGGGAGGGGTCCGGCACTTCGGGTGGCCTCCTGACACAGGCCCCAGGCACGCTTTAGATGAGCGGAAGCCCACTCTGCCGCGAGGACTGAAGTGCAGCCCAGGCTGGCCCCAGGGGCGCCAGGTCCACTGGGTCAGTTGGCCACCCTAGAGCTTTGTGGAGGAGCAGGGCCCCTGCTGGACTCCACTGTGGCCAGACAGGCCAGGCTCGGTGCCGTTGAAGACCTCCTGCCCCTCCAGCTGTGACATGGGACATGGAGGCCCCAGGCCCAGGCAGGCCTGCTGTTGGCTGCAGGGAGGGTGCCAGCCAGGGAGGCTTCAGAGCAACAGAGTTGACTGAAGGCCACTTGTCCATGGTGTGCCGGGCCCTGAGAACAGGAGGCAACGAGGCACGACCTCACCCTGGGGAGCTGAGCACACAGCCCCAGACCTGACACCACAGGGAGGTCACCCAAGGGGCAGAGGGCACAGAAGCCGAGAACAGCCAGGGAAGGGGACAGGAGGAGGGCCTTTCCCCTGACGGGCTGCCTCCGGAGCCTGGGCCTGGGCTGCACTTGCCCTGTCCGCTCTCAGGTCTACCCAGTGTGGCCCTGGCACCGAGCACTGTGGAGCATGGCTGTGGGCCTGAGCCTCTGGCTCTTGCCTGGAGCCTGGTGGACATGGGGTGCTCTGGGCCAGTCCCTGACCTCTCCTGGACCCTGGTTCCCTCATACGTAGAGTGAGGGGGCTAGCAGAGAGACTGGTCTGGCCCCTTGGGGGAACATTGTCCTCAGGATTCAAGACCTCCTGAAGATTCGTCCACAGTTTTCCAAGACTGCGTGGGCTCAACTCCACACTGCCAGGCAGACTCACCCTGGCACAGATGCCAGTGGCGAACTGGGCTCGTGCTGCGTGATACTCCACGAGAAAGCTCTACGGAACCCCCAGGCGCTGGAGTCATGCTTGCTTCTGCTCAGTTGAAATCACAACGAAAACCTAATCTTGCTCTATATGGGAGAGAATAAACTGACTCTCATGCCCTCCTTCGTTCTGAGAGATAATTCCTGAAACCAGGCTGCATGTCCCTGTTGATTCTGGATCCTGGAGCCCTGTTTGCTTTGGATCTTTAGGTGGATCTACTTTAAGTGAATAATGAAGACTTTCTGGATAGAGGTCAGAGTTTAGGCTCTGAGACAAGGACACCTGGGTCCTGGTTCCCACCTCCTGTGAGAGCTGTGTGATTGGGGGTGTGCTACTTCACCCCTCTCTGGGTCTTTCCTCGTCCACTGCTCCTGAAGGGAATGCATTAGATCAGGTTTTCAGAGCAAGCACAAACCTCAGCCTGCATGATCACTCAAGAAGTGACGGCTGTCAAGATGGTCAGCCCGTTCACCTCTGCAGCTTCACCTGTGCTCCGTGCTGTTTTACGTGTCATTTCAGAAGAGCTGACTGAAGTAAGTTCACAAGATTAAGCAAACAAGCAGAATCAAAGCTGCCCATATATTTGGAGAGAAAATTTTGCCTGCTTTTCTGCAACTTGCTAGATACAGTATTTAAAAGGAAAATATAAACAAATAATGCTATTTATGCAAAAATTAACCAGCCCTGATGGACTATAATTAAACTCACACAGCTCCCACACATCTGGGGCAAGCCTCGGGGTGCTTTGAGAAACATGAAGTACTATGAAAGACACACCCTCCCGGCCACCGCACACACCAACACAGGAGAGGCACAGGAGCTGCCCCCGGTGAACAGATGCCGCTCCAGAGAAGCAGGAGGGCAAGAAGGAGAACAGACAGAGGGCAGGAGGGGCTCACTGCCTTTAAAACTCTCTTTTTCAAAGATATCAGGATCCATTCTGTATTTTGTAGCATTGAAATTCAAGTAAATTAGTCTAAGTACAAAAGTTAATTATGTGAGCAGGTGACTGCAAAGCTTCTGGGGACACAATTGTGTTTCTAGGTCCTGCCACAGAGAAGTGCCCAGGAAGACACACTCCATGTGCCCTCAGTTCAGCAGGGTATGAAGTGCCTGGCAGCCTGTCGCAGATGAAGAGCCCTGTGGGTGGAGGACACGAGATGCAGAAGAATATGTGTGTGTATGTGCATGTGTGTGCATGTGTGTGTGCATGCATGAGTGCATGTTGTGCATGTGTCCGTGTGTATGTATGTGAGTGTGCATGTATGTGTGTGCATGTTGTGCATGTGTGCATGTGTGTGTGCACGTGTGTGCATGTTGTATGTGTGTGTGTGCATGCGGTCCCTTCTTGCAACCAAGCCCAGTCCTCACTGACTGGGACCTCAGGGCTGGGGCATGCCCACCCACCATGAGCTCCTGCCTGGGTAGCGGCACTGCAGCTTGTCTGGGAAGACTCTGTGCCTCGTGCAAAGTGAGTCCCCTCCTGGGTCCTTCAGGACAGCACTGCACTCAGCTAGAGGCCGAGGCTTCCACAGGTGAAGTGCAGCTGTGCATCCTGCATCGCGTTGCTACATAACATAACGCATACTGTCGGTGCAGAACGGCTTTCATTTAGAGATGCATGTCACTGTTTCTGCTAGCCCACTGTGACTTCTTTCACCTACTGACAGAACACAGGGACACACCTGTGTGTTGTGCATGGACTAGAATCAAACCCCACTAATTCTAACAGAGGCAAGGGGACAACCTGAGCCCCACCAGAGCTGTGGCTGGTGCTTACCCAGAAGAGGAAGTCAGGGCTTAGAGTGACCCAGGTGGCTCAGATGGAGCCGGAGGGCCAGAGTGGGTTGTGCGGAGTGGAAATCATCATGCTCCTCTCCTGCTCTCTGGAGCTCCTTTCAGCAGCCAGCGGAGGTGTCGGCGAGGACAGTGGACGAGCTGAACAGGGCACTCTGCTCCCACTGGCCCTCCGCTCGGTCCACCTCCTCAGCTGGATGGGAGTGACAAGGTGGACCTTCCTCTGGTAGCTCCAAACCCACCCAACAGTTTTGGGAGCCAGCAGGACTCTTCCAGAGAAGGACGCTTATCCGACACGCCGCTCGTCTTCCTGCGGGAGGGCAGGACGGCAATCATGGGTGAAACCGTCCCAAGCTGAGATGAGTCCAGGAAATCTGGACGCTTCCTTCTTCTGCAGAACCCTGACCTCACCAGGGTGTTGCCTACCCATGCTGGCCTGACCCCCACTGGGCGCCTGGGGAGAGGCTTAACTTTGGGAGGATTTTCACACACACTGTGACCGCAGCCAGGAAGAAGGGATGTAACCGAATGCTGTTCCCATCGCTATGGCTACGCAAAAGCTAAAATGGTGTTGCTACCACCCCAGGGCTGCAGAAGCGGAAGGAGGTCTCCTCTTAACCCATGTAATCTGCATGAGGTGAGGGAGAAACCTGGAGAGGTCGTGCCGGGTCTCGGGAGAGCCTGTGGAGAAGGTGGCCAGTGGCCTCCTGGGTGGCCGCCTGTGGTGATGCCCAGATGCCGTCTGCAGACACGGAACTGGCCGAGGTCACTCAGAGCCTCCTGTGGGACGGGGTGGGCGACGTGGACCTGGGGTACAGTGCCGTGTGTGTGCGCACTTGTATTGTGAATTGTGAAAGTGCATGCGTGTGTCAATATAGTGCACATATGATTTCTCCCTCTGGAGAGCCACTTTTAAAATATGTGCCAGATCTGCTCTTCCTGGCCCGTCTCTCTACCTCCTCCCCCAATCTAAAAATAAAGTTCCTGGTATCTGGGCAGGGAGTGATCCCAGCCAAGTTTCGAGGATCCTGGGTGAAGGAGCCATTGTGTGGCTTTGGAAATCTTCCTGAGTCCTGAGAGACCTGTGTCACTTTGCCAGACATGCCGGGGCTGCGGGGGCTGGGCTGGGCAGGGACGTGGCCTCTGGAGAAGGGCCCCATTCTGTGGTTGTGCACCCGTGGCCCTGCAGGGGGAGACGGCCTGAGAGGCTGAGTCCCCCTCAGCAGCCCACAGTCCCCATGGTGCTGCAGGGAGCGGCTGGCTCACACTGCCCCACCCAGTGCTTAAAGAGCTTGGGAAGCCCCTGCTGGACCTGCCCCAGGGCTGTGTGAGCTGCCTAAGAGCCAGTCTAATTTCTGTTTTCATCAATAATTACATTACCCAGCTCTATATTTACCCGAAAAGTTCCAAATGACTGCCATCTATTTGTAGAGTTTGAAGTGACACTGGAGGGCGGTGACGTGAAGTAACAAGAGAGCCATTTGAACGTCTACAGCAAACTGTCCAGCCACAGAGCCAAAATAAGCACGCTCTGGGGGGATTTCCAAAAGAACTTCCAGACACTTCTGAGCCAAGTCCTACTCGCCGGGCGGGTCCATGCCCTCCCTGGGTGACCAGGCACGTGGAGCAGGGCTGTCTGGACACACCAGTGTTGTTACTACAATGGAGCTCTTGAAACACGGGTGCCACCCGTTCCCCTGGAGGGGCTTCTCAGCCAGGAACCGGGGCCTGCTGAGCGCACCCTGCAGGCCTCCAGGGCAGGGCCCAGAGCTGCAGCTGGCTCTTGGTTTTCTGCAGTATGACAACGACTTTACGTTGCTGTGTCCCCGGATGCCACCTTGAGTTTTGAGAGACAAGAGTTGTGGCTCTGAGGCTCAGCAATGAACCATCATCAGGAAAGGTCCGCTCTGCCGCGCCCACCCAGGCTCATGGCAAGAGAGGCAGACTCAGCATCCCCGAGTGGAAGGCACCAGGGCCCCCAGGTGCCGTGCTGGGCAGGTCCACAGCTCACCTGACCCTCATGCCGCCTGCAAGCGGGTGCATGGGCATCAGGTCACCAGTGTCAAAGCTGACCCATCAAGCACTGCTTGCCCATGTCTTCGGTCACTCTGCTCAGGGACCCCAGAGCTAACTCGGGTCTACACACCAGCCACGGCAGCTTGGCCCTCAGACGAGCTGCAGCGCCAGCCCCAGCCCAGCCCCGGTGCCACCTCAGTAGCCTGGAAACGCTATGGTTGGTCTAGTCAAGCCCTGGAAACCCTCCAGAACTCTCCCTAGCGGAAGGAAAGAATGTGCCCATGAGGTCAGGGCAGGGGCCTCAGTGGGGGGTTGTTTGCAGCCCACAGACGACACCAGGAGTCCCCTGCGGAGGTCTGCACCACTTCACAGGAAAGGGCAAAGCGCGTCCCTGCTCCTGGGAGAGGGGCCTGCGAGCTCCGGGCTCCCGGGGCCCAGCCCAGGAAAGAGCCCAGCGGACTGGCAGGGAGGGCAACACACCACTGCTCCAGGTCACGGCCCTGGGACAGGCCACCCCACAGCCAGGTGGAGACACACACTGCAGACCCGCCAGCTGTCCCTGGGAGGGCCTCTTGTCCCGTCATCCCACACATGCCACACACAACATGTGCACATCCCACCACACGTGCACACACCCAGCACACAACACGTGCACATCCCACCACACATGCACACACCCAGCACACAACACGTGCTCATCCCACCACAGGTGCACACACCCAGCACACAACACATGCACATCCCACCACACGTGCACACACCCAGCACACAACACATGCACATCCTACCACACGTGCACACACCCAGCACACAACACATGTGCTCATCCCACCACAGGTGCACACACCCAGCACACAACACGTGCACATCCCACCACACGTGCACACACCCAGCACACAACACGTGCTCATCCCACCACAGGTGCACACACCCAGCACACAACACATGTGCACATCCCACCACACGTGCACATACCCAGCACACAACACATACCGACACACATCGCTATCTCACATGCACACACCCGTCACATGCTCACACACACAACACGTGTCAACACACACACCACACCACTGCCTTCACAGGTGCACATCCACCCCACACAGCACACACCGCGCACACACAGAACCATGCACACACGGCACCACTGCCACACACACCCACTGTGCGCAGCTCTGTGTGCCCAGCCTCCGCTGCCTGGCGCCCATCCCCGCGCAGGGACCCTCCGTGTCCCCGGTGGCTGCGTGAACAGCCAGGAGAGTCCATTGTTCCTGCGCCTCTCAGAGTGCAGCTCTGAGAAGAGGTTCCACGGGGCTGGCGGTCTCCCTGGTCATCGGGAGAGGGGTGACGAGCCTCCCCAGCCCCTGCGACACCCAATGCAGGGGTGACCGTCCTGGTGGACTGTTCTTGGCGTCCTTGGTCAGAGCTAATGGAAGGAGCGGGCCGTTCTGTGACACCAGCACAGACGGGACAGGACAGTGGGGTCCTGACAGTGCCCCGGTGCTGCCCCTGCTGCTCCCCGCTGGGTCCAGACTGCACAGCCCCTTTAG